TTTTTCTTCTAAAAAATGATTTTTTGTTTTCACGTAACTATTTACCACCGACAAAGACAAGATAACGAGTTGGCAAAAGAATGATCATTGTCAGTTGAAAAAAAAGATAGAAAAAATGAATTGAAAAGAGTGCCGATGTGTCAGTCGCCCACGAAGGACCTCGTCCCCTTCTTGCTACGACTTTACAATAGGATTTAATTAGTTGCAGGAATGCGTCGGCGCACAAGCATCAGAGCATTCCGGTGTTAAGTTGAACACGTACAGAACGTGTTCGTTTTACTTTGCTAGTAGCACATACAAAGTCTCTTTCTACCTCACCTAATAGGACGCACAATCGTGCAGAGTCGTCATACGACCTTCACTGGCAAACTTCAAGGCGCGGCCCCGACGCCTATCGACTGCTCTCAACCAGTAATCAGGAACACGTTTATATGTGAGATATATGAACTTCACATCATATGTATAACATTTATAGCTATCTTACGTGACTATTGCCATTAGTATTATTGTTTTCTCGGCTGTTTCTATTCATTTTTGTATCATGCATATTTTTGCAAATACAAATCACCATTATTTCCCTTTTCCTTTGATCACATTTTCATGAACTCCAATAGCATCAAATGTCAGTGAGTAAATATTCAAGACCTTGTTCTATACTCAACAGTGTGCACTGCTCGTGATCATTATTAAGTGAGCATCACCAATCTTGCTTTAACATCTTGGCTAATAATGGTGTATCTTCAGGTACTTACAATTTTCCAGTTAAAACAGGCATAACCCACGTGCGCTTAATGGCCTGTATGGAATTGCTGGACAGACATATAACTTGTAGCAAATTTACAGTGTAATACAGTGGTGAATGACGAACAAACTAAACTTCTTGTTGAAGAAAACATTTTATTAAATTTTGTTTTCTTCCAATATTTATAATTTATTCACTAAGATGAATCAACACTTGAAATTTTTCATTTGTATCTTCGAAAATACATTAATTAATTATTGAGACAATTAAGATTAAAGCAAATTTATTGATTAAAAGCGAGAAATATTTCGAGGACATTTTTTGGTTAATCTTTCAATGGTACAGTAGAGGGACAGGTGTTTGGACAGGTGACATTTCAATGGTCACACTGTGAGTAGGTTGAATTTTTTTTACATAATTTAACATGGTGGTTTTTCAACTTTCAATTTTCATCCTACATGATATGATATTTAAAATGATTATTTTAATTTCGTTCATCATATTATACCTGAATGAAATATCATTTAATTTATTTCATTATAAAGGTAATTCGAGGTCATAGATGAGAATTTATTTTTTCAATAATGACCTCATAGGTCAATGCTTTTAGTTTATTTCATACCTGAGTATGTGTACATTTATAACACATGAAAATGTCGACAACTGACCACTCATCCCTCATAATCATCGAACAAATCAGCCGCAGGCAAAATAATCTTTCTCTTGGTTGTTTTACAACAATCTTACTGTGCGTAATATACGACCGCCATTCAACCCATCAAACGCGTTAACGTGTGCGCATTATTTTTGGGATATTTTTTTTTTTTATAAGCACTCACCCGCGGCTATTATGAAGAGGAAGGGCAGAGAACACAAAGAATAAAGAAAAGAGAACGAAAAATCGTTGGTATAAGTTGTTTACGCAAAATTATCAGGAGCTAACGAGCAAGGTAATTAACGAGTTGCTGTTGATGGTAGTTTACAATATACTAGCACGCATGTTTAGTTAGGTAAGCCCTTGATTTGAAAGGTTAAAATACCTAACATAAAGTTCTAGAGGCGGATAAAGCTTAAACGTATTCAGAGGTTTGTTCTGTTAAAAACAAATTAAAAATAATATCCACGAACTGTACTTTTAATTAAGCAAACATAGAGAATGTACATTAATGGATGAAATCAAGTCAGTAAATTTAATCTCATTATAAATTGAAAGCAATACATCGGATTAAAATTATCATTTTTTTCGACATAACAGTTGACAGTTAAACATATGGGATTGTTTTTTTTTCCCAATTTAATTATTTTAAAATGGAAAAGAAATATTGTGTCATCTGAATGTATCAATTAGATAACGCAATATGAAAATTTAGTGGAATAAATGAATGTAAAATAAGATAGGGTTATTTGGCTTGAGTATCCTCAGTTGATGATCCATCAAGAGAATGATAATAATTCAGTCTTGATATTCTTTCTTAACTATACGGAATTGATTTATTCGTACAAGTATGGATAAAAGCAGCATTGCAATGTCTGAATGGCCTTTGGCGGACGAGAATGGACTTGCAAGACACATTAGGACTCCCTCATCGGCATCATCAACGTCGACGCTTTCGGGTAAACGAGCCGCAAAGGCACATCACCTACCGCATACGTGATTCTATCCCAGTGTGAACTTTCCCTCGACATAGAATAACGAGAGAAAGAGAATGGTCGGTAAGCTTAGATCGTTCACGAACTTTGATCTATCCGCTATTTCTTGAGATCATCTGTACCTCTCTCTATCTTCTTGTCTCACTCGAGCGATTTCTCAAACTCGAGCATCGATCACGGTTGCTTTAAACAGATCCCGGAACAGTTCAAGTGAACCCAGAGTAGTGCTTTGGTTTACTCGTACAGACTGAACGGGTGTGAAATGTCGTAACGACGTGTCAAAAGGAAATAACTCGAGAGCACGTATCGTTAACAAATGCTCCAACTTTTTTAACTTTTAATTTCCCTCTTCCTTTCTGTAACCTCAAGTAACTTATGTCACTGGTAGTCATAGTAGAGAGTACTTATTATTAGCCATATTTTATATTTATTCTTGAAATAATGCATTGATAATGATTGCTTTTATTAAAAAGTTATTATATTTTACGAATAAGTATTAATAAAATTTTCATTGTTTATTATTACAAGACATAAATATTTTTTATCATCATTTTAATCATAATTATCAGAATGAAAAATTTTCAAGTGTCGTAATTAAAATAACGTGTAATTAAATTAATTGAAGCTAAAAATAAAGATGAATAATTACTTGACATAGGTATGAAGAATTTTTTATAGAATTATTCTCTTGTTGAATTTTTTTTCAAAGCGCATAATTTTTATTTGCAGCTTTCAAAGTTAGATGTATTTTTTATTTTATAGGTTTTCTTTTTCTTTTTTTTTTTTTGAGGGATGAGATGCCGCGACACTTTTCACTTTATTCGTAGCATGAAGTGACTGTCGCGCAGTAAACTCTTCAGGCAATGTCATGAGTAACACCTGCAACAACTTGGATTCCTGGACAAGGTCTTATTTCTTCAAGTTTTACGATCCTCTTAGCTGTGTCATTTTAGTGATGACGGCTGCTTTTCCGTCCGTGCAAATAACTGCGATGTGATGGAAAAGGCTGAAATGATGATATTTACTGTACATGTCTCTCGGTTGATATTTAAGTGAACTTTTTCTGACAATTGAAGAAAATTCTCGATTTACTTTGTTCAGTTGATAATAAATATTATGACACTTTCTATTGGTCAGTATAATGACTTGAAATCATGGAAGTAATGAAAGAGGATGTATCAGTTACTTTGTACCGTTAGCTAAGACAACTCCTGTGGTGTTTTATGTCTCTTCGACTTTTACAGGATAATCATCGTCATCATCATTCGGCGATTTAACTACTTATTCACTTAACATAGGCATTATACTCGTAAATAATCTCTAACTAACTGATTATCAAAATGAAACCGTCGTAAATAGTTGGCTATAACACGATGAGATATCTTATTATCCAATAACGAGATATTTTACTACTGAGAACGAATAAGACAGACAAAAATATTTTTACTTAAAAATAAAATAAATTTATCTGTCACCAATCGTAAATTTTTATCAAACAGCTTGATAAAGTCATTAACTTTTTTATTTGGCCGGAGAAAACATTTTTATTGAGATATCGAAGTGTAAAAAAAATCATAAATATCGAAATAAATCAGTTTTAGTAATTATTTATCGAATAATACATTATTATAATTATTATTATTATTTGATATCAGGTCTTTTTTCTTGAAATTTTGATTCAGATATCAAAAGTAGGGTCTTGGGTCGTCTGAAGAATTTTTAATACAATAGAAACCTCAATAGATATCAAGACGCATTGAGATTATTATCAAATAGTCAGTAACCTTCGATTGGCGATATTGTCTGCAAACGTCCTGACACTCGATTTGCTTCTCCACTTGCCATAATATCGATTAGCTCTGTTGAATATATTCAGTCAGTTTTATTTAGCAATGTTTGAAATAAGTATCCTCAACAATTACCTTGATCACTGACAACATGATCTGAAATTTTGATCAAATTTAGTATTACATTTTTACTGATTATTTTAGTGTTTTTTTATTATCGAAATTTCCTGAAAAAAGTTCCTTTCATTAGTAAATGAACGAAAGTAAACTGAATATTCAAATAAAACTTAAATCATACATTATTCATGTAACGATAATTACTAATTGATTCTTGACAAATTATAATTACAATAACTAATTATTGATAGTTACTAAAATGTTATTTTTATCAATAAAAACGTTGACTAATTAAGGTTGTTCTTTATAGTTAATCTAAGACGATAAAGCCGGTTTGGAAAAACTATTTAATGCACTTTAGTTATTAATGCAATGATAAGGTATCAGTCATTATATCATTCACGTGAGAAAAGTTGAGTTCCAAGAATATACATTGTAAAAAATTAACAATTTTCCACTTTTATCACTTAACCACAATATTTTTTTTATTTATCTTTCATACTTCATTCTTTTTATGTCACGTAACAAAACGTGACCTCAAATTCTTAGATTGTCATGAATATAAAAAAGTCATTGTTTTATCTTTCATACTAAATTGAAAAGACATTATTTTGTTCTCGTTATCTACGCAAGAACAGTATTTAAATTAAAATATATTTTAATGTAAATATTCATTTATTAAAAATATTATATTAATATTACAGGTGAAGTGTCAAGTGAAAACATATCTACTGGAACAATACCACGTGGGGGTGAACGAGTAGAAGCAGCTGATTTAGGAAGACATACTGAAAGTTTGGACGAGAACATCCTGGCCGCCAACACAGCGATTGACGCCAGGGGCAGCAGCCCTCAGGGCGCTCATTTATCAGGAGCAGTAACTCCCCGACCCCCACGTGGACGAAGACGACAGAATCAAAACGGCCTTGATACCACTCAGGTTTGTTTTTAACTTTAATGGAATAAAAAAAATTGAAAATAAATATTTTCTTCATTACTAAAATAAATAAACCCCTTATCTTTATTAGCATTACTTGATGTTGATGTGAAGAATGTAGAATTGATTAAATACTTACATTTGTAGACTCAAAAATGTTGAAAGAAGATAAAAAGAGGGTTATTTGTTTATACATTTAAGTGAGCAAGGTTCAAACATAGTCTAGTGTCAAGTGTATTTAATTTTATACAATTCCCGTTTGAGGGGAAACCGTTTAAAGATTTAAGAGTGTGGGCAGTGGAAGTTGATGGCAGCCAGACAACGACCAGTTCCTCTCACCGTGTCAGGAAGAATTCTTTAAGGCGAGAAAGAGATTTACCGCTTGGTGTCACTCGAAATGTCCACGAAGTAAAGAGAGACTCTATTCTCTTGCAATTGACTCTCGTCCTTCTTAGTGTCACGCTCACGAATCAAGTCTTGCGACATACGTTAGTTTCATTACCATATCTAAGATGCAATCTGTTGCCTATGATTGATGCAAGTCGCGATACATATTTTGTTGATGTCATTCTTATAATTAATAAAAGCTCCAAACATTTGAAATTTACTTTATTCAATTAGAAAATTATCAAATACCAAAAGTAAATTCTTATCATGTAACTTTTAATATGATGATTATTATTATTTCAGGTTAAAACGGAACGACTTACACCTGATAATAATTCAACGTCATCGAGAAGCGTGACACCCTCTTCGTCAAGTCATCCAGGCACGCCGCCAAATGCGGCTGCACTTGGAGGACCTGAAGGGCCACCGGCGCCTCATCATCTTAAGCACATGGAGCAGATGATGGGCAGAAATTACAGCGATTTTATGAGAAGTCTTGCTGCTAAATATAACCACGCAAATCCTAACGAGTATGTTTTACTTATTTTAGTGTAAATGATAAAAAAATATTTTTTTTTTCTACTATTATTCAATGTTGTACACTATTTTTCATTCATTATAATTCAGTTTATTTTTCTTAGTTATTTTAGTTCCACGAGAAACGGCTATCCTCCTGGATTCGATCCTCGATTTCCGGCTTTTAAAACTGCTGCAACGCCCTTTGTTGGTCTTATGGCACCACTTGGTACACCACAGCCATCAACAGTACCAACGACTTTACCACTCTCAGGCAAAGAGTCTAAAGAACAGAAACAAGATAGTCTCTTTGGCAATCCTGTGTTTCCTCCTATGTTGGATATGTCTTCAACACAAGCATTGTTGCACATGGTACGAACAGCAAATGCAGCGCAAAATGCCGCAGAGCTAGAAACATATTTGAAAGGTAAATGTAAAATCAAAGGATTTTTTGAATAATATCAATTATTATTATCATTAAACATTATATGAAAAATTTTTTTTTAATAAAGAAAAAAAAGATGATTTCTAAAGGAGTATTCAATTAAAGGTGCAAATAAAAGAGACATTGGAGTAACGAGTCCACTTGATTTGTCGAGTCCCGGTGGATTTGCTCCTCGTAAACGACCAAGAACGGAGACGAAGAGATCAGGAAGTGTGTCACCAAAGCCAAAAGCAACACCACGGCCAAGTACACCACCACCAGTAAGATGTCCTTCACTTTGTGGCCATATGCCCTGTGGCGACGGTCAAGCTGTCAATCGTTGGACCATTGAAGACGTTGTTAACTATGTGTCCTCGATCGACATTTGCGCCGAATATGCACAGGTAAGTGTTTTCATTATGTTGTTAGCGAGTTGACGATTTATCATGTGTTCACCGGTGTCGAAAGTTATTTTTCTTATTTGACACAATGTTAATAATAATAATAATATAAAGTAGAACAGGAAACTTTTAAAAATACTTTAACTAGAATAATGTCATTAAGTGACTAGAGAGAATGAGAAATATTAAAAGATTTTTTAAATTAAATTAATTATATTTACTGAAATGAGATTGTTATTTTTGTATTGAATAATAACATTTAATATGATTAGTGAGACAAAACTGGAATATTTTTAAGTAGATTCAATGCTCTTGGGTGTCGAGATGTTCGGTTTTACGCATCATAAATTTTAGCCTCGCACGCGTGTCTCTTGTTCATGAATATTCAAAGAGGATGTATGGTATCTAATGAAAAGATGTTTCACGTTCATCATATACGATGATTTCCGTAAATGGCATAATAAACTTCGAATCATATTAAACTAAAAATATCCAAAAGCACAAAATTAAAATCAATAATCACATTTGCATCTTAACATTAAACATTCAGTAAAACATAATTAATTCATCTTGAATAGCTTCGTTAACAACTTAACTGTTAATCGTTGAAACATTACTGCTAATAAAAATCGCATTAATTAGCAAATGTCTACTCAACACCATCGTGAAGACTACCCAAATTGTCCTGAGTTTTAGTAGAAGCAAATAAAGTACTGGAACAACTCGATGAATTATTTCCCAGACTTTAATTGATCCAACAAAACAGAATTAATTGAGTATTGTATAATATTAAAACAGACCGTTCTAGATGTTGAGAATTCCATTAGTACATTAAAAAAAAGAAGTCTTTATGAAAAATGAGTTATATAAGATGATAGTAAAAGTAATGGACATGTATTGGTTGGAATAGCTACAGCATAGCTGTGGAATACCATCAAATGGCCTGGAAGGGCTCGCGTGACGAGTGTGTGGGTGTAACTTATGGTAACAAGGGAAGCTAGAGTGGCATAAGACAGGCTTGAAGACTAGCTTGAGAGCTGGGGTTAGAGCATGTGCATTGAACGAGTCGTTAGAAAGTCATGAATGTAGAGCTCTAGTTGGTATGTCTTTTCAGTGATCGTCTTGGTGGTGCTTATAGCAAAACCACGAGAATGACATCGTCGACGAGTACAAGGATGTTTCGTTTTTTTAACATCCCACGCGTCTCATCATGATATTCCGCTCTATCGTGTCATGAAATCGTGAACGAATCATTTTGCCAGTTAAGTTTTATTGCATGCATCTAATTTATATTGTCGTTAAATTTTGAACGAATTGATGATTAAATTAAATAGAAATGGTATATATTTTTGAGAGAAAATTAATGAAGGTACTACGCAGTAAATCGTGACTTTCTAACTTATTATTTGAACTATTTTGACCTCTTAATAAAATCCATGAGTTAACGTGTAACACCTTCGTTTATATGCCAACTCAAAGTGCATCAATTAATCACTAATAAACGATAATATTCCTCGTATATCATCTTTAATTGATAATTAATATTAACTTGATAAAACAAGAAATTTGTCGTGATTAAACTTGCTTATAAATCAAAAACATTTATTTAAATATTTTCAAATATTTTTCTTTTATCACACCTATGTGTATTCAGACTTCTTGACCTTTTCTTCATCGATCATTTAAATTTTTTACATTAATTGAATTTTAGCTGCTGAGATTTATAATTGAAAAAAAAAAAATTCATCTTCAATTGCCTTTGTCACATGCGTGTATGAAATCATGCTCTCTAACCTTTTCTGCATTGATCATTCAACCCTAATCAACAATTTACAACCAATCTTACATCATAGCAAATAATAGTCAATAAGTAGTGGTTATATATCTCAATAAATTACGAGAAGAGATAATCAATTAATCGATCTCACCTGTATTAGAGAAAAAGAAAGAGAGAGAGAGATCGAAATGTTAGAATAATGATTGGACATGTGGGTTTTTATTATCTAAAATAATTTCGAATTTTCTTCAGTATCAGTACATAGACATTCACAGATGTGCAATAGCACATGCGTCCAGTAATTTCTCGGTGAGTTTCATGCAAATTGTTGAATAGAAAGTCTACAAGGATTTTATCGATCGTGGGGAATGCTTACAAAAAGAATTCCTTGAGTACTGGAAGAATTTGAGTTATTTAAGTGGTCAGTCGCGTGGTTAATGTCTAACAGCTGATGTTGTTGGTACTGCGTTAATTAGCGTAAAGACCACGTGCCTACATTTTTAGATAGTCAGCTTGTGGGGTTTTACTCTAGAGTGTGACTATTTTTCCTAACGGATCGCTACCGTTGAGCTTGATAACGGGTTACCATCCAGCTTGTACACGCCTCGATATTTACAAGAGAGTGGTATATTCACTCGTGTACCACGTACTACGATCGCACGTGGATAAAAACTTTTAGTTTAACATTATGCCCATGTTTCTTCCTTGTTGACCCATACACAATTGGTAAATAAGCCTATAATAAATCACCGGTTCACTACTTTTTCGTCTCATGATCTTTTAGTAATCTGAAAGTCGTTGGCTACAGTATATTGCGTGGAAAATGGTTAAAGAAATCTGGATGAGGATGTAGGAAAAAGGTATCGGTTACGACCCTCGATTCGACATCACGCGCTCGATCGAGAACGTGAGCCTGAGTATCCGAGCTATCGCTCACGTTTGTTGTATTTCTATACTCGCGTTTTAGAGTCGAAGATACAAAAGAGATTGCTGCAGCATTTTCTGCACGTGGCTCTCGTTTAAAACCCATAAACCTGCGTGGGATTAACTATTCTTCGTTATTTTATTGTTTTTAACAACGCAGAAATACTATTAAAATATTGAAAATTGTTTAACAATTGAGATATTGATAAAATGGTTAATTACTCTAGAATTTACATGTTATACAGATATCAGTCAATTATTTATTCATTTTAAAATATATAATAACTAATTTAAACGTCATGCTTTCAACATTAATGATGATGATGAAATTGTAATGTTTTGAGGAGATGATTACGCGTGAAGATGATAGTAAGATAATGGTAAGAATCAACAGACATGAAAGAACTGTTGAGTAGTCTAATATTATTCACTCTTCTCTTTATTCCATTTATGGACCTGATGAATAACCAGCCCTACTCAACTGTGTTGCCAGAACAACAGTCTACTTTTGAACTTCCTTCGTTTCTTGTGACAGATCTAGGTTGCTCGTAAGCTTCTCTTTAACTCATTGCGTCATTTGTATACTCTTCGCTCTCAAAGATCTCACGAAATAGATCGGGAAAGTCCAAGTCAAATCGTGTGGGAGTGCCTTCTACAATGTAACTCTCTCTTTCCTTTTATTCTGTCTTGTTTCAATCAAAACTTCTTTTGGGAATGCTAGAATAATATTACACTTTATTGAAAAAGAAAAAATATCAAACATTAACCTTTTATCTAGGTCTATTTGTCTAATGATAATATCTTACATGGTGTGGTTTACTGATTTTCATATGAAAATCGTCGTGGGACAATAGCCAAGAGAGCAATGCAGATAACCTCCATGTCATAATAGAAATGGTGAAACTGCTAGTATAACTAGGCAAAGGTTGAGTTGATTGATCAAGAAATGTTGCAAAATTCGTCCAAGAAATGATTACTAAGGGTCACTAGGTTGCTATGAAAAAGATCTCTCTCTCTTTCTTATTCTTGTTCTTTTAATAAATTTGTTATCCTTTCATTCATTCTTCAATTCATTGTTGGTAAATGAAATCATGAAACCTATTGAACTCGTTTGATCATTTGTCAGGGTTATTTGAAAAGGTTCTTGATGGGATTTTGTCGTCATTTCTTGATTAAAATTAATTTTTCAATAGTTTGAATTGATTTGGCATTTCTGGTCATTAAGACGGAGGGAATGAGGGGTCAAACTTGGAAATAAAATTTTTATTTTTCAACCCCAAAAAAAAGCAAATGGTAAAAAGATAAAAGTTTTCCGATTTTAATCATCGAGGGCTCATTTTTTTCGTCTTGATACCCAGAAATACGGAATCCGGTCAGAGCCTGAGAAAATTTATTCCAACACCCTTATAGATAGGTAAAAACTGATACAAATAAAAAATCATCATAACAAAAAGTCTAATAATTTTTTTAGGGATGATTTAAAAACCTCAAAATCTCAGCTATATGATAAAGATGAAAGAATCATTGAAAAAAATTTATTTCACAATTAAAGTTATCAAAATATTTAAAAAAGTCACATTTTTTGGGGAATTTGCCGAGTATTTCGGTGATTTTAAGGGTAAAATAATGGTTTTTATAAATCTGTTTGGGTAGCTTAAATTATGAATATTTTAAATACTTCCTTTCAATCATTGTTGTACAATTCCTTTACGAGTTGGAAAATTTACAGGTTAAAGGGTGGATGATTGATCCTTACCCAGACTTCTATCCTACAATAAAAAGTATCCTTCTTTGAGCATGAAATCATAAAGATATTAATTAATTAATTAATCACTTATTATTATACTATTAAAAATATCGATAAATTCAACTTGTTGTTTTTTTGTCAACCACAATAAAAAATAAAAAAGAATGTGCATATAATGGACTGACACACGCCATTCATGGCAAAAGATGTCTCAAAAGTCCATCATCGTCTCGTTAAATCGAATGTTGAGTTCATGGGATAGTGAAGTCTCTTGGAAACATTGCAAATGAAGTTTACTTTAAAGGAATGACTCCTTCAAAGTCTTGTTCCTGTCATGAATTGATGAAGAAGATACTGAAGAAGAAATTTCTTAGCTGGCCATGAGCAAACGTCATCAAAGGCAGCTTGGTATCTTTATCGTATCGATTGCACTGACAAACTGGAGAATGGTTTTAGACGAATAGCCATTTTGCATGGGCGATCGAGTCATATGTATTGTGATTACTCAAGGGATCTAATGCTGTATACTGCGTGTTCTCAATTCTCTAATAGGCA